TGTAATAAAATGTGCATATTTTTTGTGATCATTTCTGTTTCTTCATTGTGAAAATCAATGACGAAAATTAATTTAGTAATTTGATTTTCCCTCAAAAACGTAATCTGTCACTTGATGAATCGAAATTTTCATTTGCACTCTTTTTCGAAGGGCGTGCTCGGGTAAGCGCCCACCCCTACAAAATTGTGATTTTCTGAGTTGAGGCCCCTGGGTGCTAACGCGGTCGAGTACGGTAAGTGCATGTGCTACTAATGGGGCAAATAGGGTAATATTCTCTATACTTATTAAGCACCGATTTCAAAACCAATACATACCTTCACTTCAGCACCGGAAGCACCAGGCATCAATTCTGCTATCTTTCTCAAGTTGATACCTCTCGTCAGATTCATTTTACGGGAATGGATTTTTAAGATGTCTAATCTGGCTTCCTCATTTGGAGGTGGAAACTCAATCTTTCTGTCAATACGTCCTGGTCGAAGCAAAGCCGAATCCAGTATGTCAATACGATTGGTAGCCATGATGACCTAATCAAAGAAAGAAATTGCTTAAACATACATGTACATAAATATGTATATCATACCATTCATTGCACAACAAAAAGTAAATTCCTAGATGAAATTACACAATTATCCCTATTCTGTATGAGGCGCAACAAAATTTCTTTTCAGTCCTTTATTGTCATCATATGAGTTAAGATAATGAAAAGTTGCCAATCAAGATTGTTTTTACACATACCTTTATATTCTTGTGTGATTCAAAACCATCTAACTGATTTAACAATTCTAACATAGTTCTTTGAACTTCACTGTCACCACCTGATCCACCTTCGAGACGAGATGAACCTATGGAGTCAATCTCATCCATGAATATTATAGATGGTGCATGTTCTCTGTTGCAAGTAAGAAAATTACACATTTAGACATATACAAATACTGTGGACATTCAATACTAGAAATGACAATATATAAATAAATTATCAACAGAGTGAAATGTTCCCATATTCCAATGCACTTTTCTAATGAAATAATGAGTATGAGTTTTGGCCTTGGTGCCACTTGCGATAATTATGACTGGCGACTCCTTCGATACCTTCCAATCACCCAAAAAAATATATCAAATTAAAGCTCAGTAACTTCTCAGTGTGTACTAGTTGGTATGTGCAACAGTTAAAATCACCATCTTCAAATGAGACCCATATCTCACGCATGCGTAGCGACTTCCCCCTTTAAATTGAAAAACAAACAACAAACCACTTTTCACAATTTTCAAGAAAAGTTCTCTTACCTTGCCATAACAAAAAGTTCTCTGACCATCCTTGATCCCTCACCAATAAATTTTTGTACTAATTCTGATCCTGAAACTCTAATAAATGTACAGTCTGTGTGATGAGCTACAGCTCTAGCTAATAAGGTCTTACCAGTACCAGGTGGACCATATAATAACACGCCCTGCAGAATACAACAAATATTCATGTGGCTTATATGTATATAACATGTTGAGAAAGCACAGCTAAAAACATCTTGTATGATTGGGCTAATGTGACCAAAAGCACATTCTAAATATCAACCACATTAATGTGAAAAATCAACACTTTTTTTATCCATAGGCTTTTTTTGTGCTAAGAAACAGCTCAGAGCATAGAATGTTGCTTTATTTTTGCTACCGTAGTTGCAAGTCCGAAGCACGCACTTTGACACAGACAGCTTTTTAAAAATAACAGAAGGTTATTATCCCAAAACTTTGTAACATGTATAATATGTAATAGTGAATGGATAATTAAAACTCAAAAAAAAACTTTAGGTAGCCATACTTGTTTATGATCAACTTGATCCATTTTAAATGACTGCCACAATGTAGTTCAATGCTACGAGAAAATCTCAATGTAACTGTTTCCATGAAAACAAGTTTGTGTACCTTATTTTTATTAGTTCTGTTTTTCACGAATTCTTTTGTTCAAGAAAACATTAAAAATTTGTAGTGATTTTCATTTTCCACATTTTAACTAGATTTACTGCATTCATAATGATTGGCAATACCTTTGGTTGAGCAATTCCAAGAGCTTCAAATAACTCTGGATGCTTGACTGGCAGTTCTATAACTTCTTTGATTTCTTTAATCTGTTTATCTAATCCTCCTACCATCTCATATGTAGAGTCTGGTACCTTCTCTACCATCATAAGACTTACCAAAGGATCGACCTATATATCAAAGACAAGACACATGATGAAATAGATTTTTTTTTCAGAGAATAAGAGCTGGAAATATAGCAAAACACAACAAGATACTTTTTAACTATTAAAATCTTGATTTCTTCCTGTCAATTTTATATCATCATTATCACATCACTTGCCAGACACAATAGTTGGCAAAAGTTAGCAAGCAATGTGTCAAGACCTGACATATCCACAGTTGACCATCTATTCCTGGGCATTACCATTCCAAGAGATAGAAAAAATAGGGTTGCAATTCTGTCCTCATGGAATAACACTGTAGATTGTAATGTAATTACACTGCTAACACATCACCATCCAGAGCTAACATACATGCAAATACAGTAGGACTTTACAAGAACTCACCTTATTTGGTAATATTTTATGTAATGTATAACTGTCATTACGAAGAGCAACACGACAATTTGGAGTCACATCGCCCATATCAATATTCTTATCTATATCAACAACAAATTTACCTTCTGGATGAACCTGAAAAAACAAACAAATATTGCCAAACATGAAAACAACGTGTTGTGGCAGAAATAATGATATTATAATAAATTAAAATACTATAATATAATCAGTGAAATTAAATGGAGCATTTAAATTTCAAAGTTGCGTCCACCCATCCACCTTATTTTTGTATTGAATCTATTATTATGAAGAAACTAACACACCAAGGGTGATTGACTGAGTTTACTTTATTCAAGTGGTATGGTTGTCAAAATTTAGTTTGACTCCTTTGATGTGTGGAGTAATGTGTCTAATGTATTAAATATAGCAGCTATGGAATTGCAAGACATTTGTCGTGCCAATAGTCGAGCATCACCTAGCAGTTCTGTAGCTTCGGTTGTGATTGAGTTTTCAGCATCTTTGTGTGTCATCAAGTCACTCAATAGCATGCAGGATTTACAGTGTCAGTGAACTTGGAACATCAAACATTAGCTAGGTTAATTTGGCGTGCACCCGATTTGATGTTTGACAAAGTTACTCAAAATTGAAAGGCCTAAATTTGGCTGACAATTCAATTTTAAAGACACAGTAATTTCAAGTCATATCTTAAAACATATCTTAATTCATACCTTGACCAAGACTTTTTTCTTATCCATTGGTTTAACAACTTCCCCAACATAGGATCCCTGTTCTTGGAGTAACTGCAGTTCCTCTCGCAACATACGAACTGAAAATTACAAAGATGATAAAGATAAAAAATTTCATATACTTCCCATTGTATATAATTCTCACATGATTACAAAATACAAGAAACTGGAAAATACCAGATAAAATCTTGCATGTTACTCTTCTAATTTATTTAGAAAATATTGGTAATTTAAATAGTGGAATATTTTTCTCACCCTTGGCATTAAGTTCATTTCTTTGTGCTTGAAGACGTCTGAGATTTTGGGTTTTGTCTGTCACCACAAGCTGGAAGTAATCAAAATATTGAAGTGCATGTTGCAATGAAAACAACTTTTTCCCATTCATTTGGCTATTCATGGAAGCTTTCAATAGTCTATGTGTTGAGTGCAAAAAGGTTGCAAATATGATTGTTTATGCAAATACTGTATTTGCTCTATTAGTAGTAACACATGTGCTGATATTTTATTGATCCAGTATACAAAACTACCATTTTTGGTGTATGTGCGGGAATAGTTTTTGGTATAATATTTAAATAGCCAATGAAAATACTCCAACATTTTTTTGTGTTTTTTGTTGTTGTTAGATTGCAATAAAATATTGTCAATAATGTGATGATGAAATCAATGGTCCCTCAAGCCTTTCATTTATATCATGACATTTTTATACTGAAATTTGGAAGGGATTGAAATAATATCACATTTTTGATACTTACTTGGAGTTCCTCAATTTTCGCTATATAATACTGCTTGATGCCTTCATGGTTATTGGGAGCTTCATCAACCTCCATCTAGCATAAAAACAAAATGATAGTTTACAAAAGATAAACTGTGTTCACATGTAGGTTTGAGAAGATCTGTTTACGTTTGTTAATACCAGAATAGTTGTTTGTGCAAGTAATCCATTATTTTCTGTTAAGCTTTTATAGTCAGCGTTTTACAAATTCAATGTTTGAATAAAACTGAACTTCTTAATGTTAATTCCGTGTTATATCTAGAAAATTTTAAATCTATACGACAACCCATGTACCTGTCAGAAATTATTTAGGGAATGAAAAGAAAGGTGTTTCATTATTGCGAGTTTCAAAGAAAACAAAATTTGTTTTGTTCATATATTGAAAGGGTGGTACATGTATTTTAATTACAGTACTCATTTCGCCCAACCTCCCGCCCGCTTCCGGATTTCGATCGCTTTTTTTTTCGCTCGCTTTGTTCAATTCGGCCGCGCAATTTCCGCTTTTTTTTAGACCGCGCAAATCTGAAAGTATCCGCTAGCGCAATCGCTCGCTCGCTCGCCTGACAGCGCAACCGCCCGCATTTACAGTTCATTACCTACTGTTTCATGTACAAG